GAAATAAAGCCTGGCCTTTCTTTTTTCAGAGTCTAAATAGCTGTAAGACTTTCAGCCTTCTGGTTGCATAAAAGTGGGAGTTTGAGAAGAACACTTTTATTCTAGTGGGAAGCATAATAGGTGGTAGAGTGAGGGAAGAAATCCTCTAGTGATCAAAACAAATTTTAGGTAAATGTGTAGAGTTATGCTTTATTCTGTTGTTGTTTTTTTTTTTTTTCATTTTTCTCATTTTTTTTCATTTTTTTCTCATTTTTAACTTTGTTCATTATCTTACCACTTTTTAGAAAGAAGAATCCAGTTTAGTACAAACTCCTAAATCTCCCAAGAAACCTAGAGTAAAAACAGCAATTCAAAAACAGAAGAGTGAGGCTTTGTATTCAATTTCTCCTAAGGACGACATGATTGATAAAGGGTAGGTACAGCTTTTTATGTGCCAAGTGTTTTTCTGTAGTAGTAAGATTTTTTAAGAATCTAAAAATTAAATACAAATTGAAAACTAATACCTTGATTTTTTCACATGAGTTCTTATATTTCAATGATAGATATTAGAGGGTTATACTTCCTGTGTATATTATAAATTAGGAGTAGAACTCCTGAGATTAGTAATTTTAAAGAGATTGTGCCTCTGATTTCTAGCCTTTCATGAGCCATAGAATCAAAAGACTTCTCTGAAAAGATTACCCTCCAATTCTTACTTGGCCCTATTCAGTAATTTAATATTTCTCAAACTTGAGATCTCATAATACTCTCAAAAATATTATCATTATTTAATATAGTATATTATTTTATTCATTTAGGTTGGCCCATAAATTTACCCTTTTTATTATTCTTTTTTTTTGAAATTGAATTATTTTTTTTCAGCCTGGAAAAATACTCTTTGGTATTAACTTTGGTATGGGGTTGAATAACCCTTTGTTTAATAATTTATTGCTTTCTTTTCTTTTTTTTTTTTACTGAGATAAAGTTTACATAACATAAAATTCACCCTTTTAATCATGTTGAGGTATATAATTCACTGATTTTTAGTATGCTTACAAAGTTGTGCAACTGTTACCTCTATATGATTCCAGAACATTTTATCACTCCTAAAAGAAGCACCATCTCATCATCTCATTAACAATCACTTTCCATTTTCTCCCTCCTTTAGCCCCTGGTAACCACTTATCTACTTTCTGTCTCTATGGATTTGCCTATTCTAGACATTTCATATAAATGAAACTGTACAATATGTGGTCTTTTGTGCCTGGCATCTTTCATTTGCATAATGTTTTCAGTGTTCATTAATGTTGTGGTCACTTTTATTTTAAATTATTTTTGCTGGGTATAGAATTATAGATTGGTACTTATTTTCTTTCAGCTCTTGGAAGATATCATTTTGTTATCTTCTAGCTTTTAATGTTTCTGTTAAAATACAGTAGTCCCCCATTATCCACAGGGGATACATTCCAAGACCCCCAGTGGATACCTGGAGCCTCAGATAATACTGCACACTATATACACTATGTTTTCCCCCATGCATACGTACCTATGATAAAGCTTAATTTATGAATTAGGCATGATAAGAGATTAACAACAAAAACAAATAAAATAGAAAAATTATGATAATATACTATAATAAAAGTTTGTGAATGTAGTCTCTCTCCCTTCCAATCTCCGCCCCCCCCGCCCCCCCAAATATCTTATTCTACTATAGTCATCTTTTCACTTAAAGGAAGCACTTTATGGCTCCTCTTTGGTATATTCAAATCACCAGCATCACTATTCTTATGCTTTGAGGCCATTATTAAATAAGGGTTACTTGAACACAAGTATTGTCATGCCACAACAGTCGCTCTGATAACCAAGACAGCTACTAAGTGACTAATCGGCAGGTAGCATATGCAGCATAAATATGCTGGATGAAGGGATGATTTATGTCCCAGGTTGGACAAAGTGGGACAGTGCAAGATTTTATCACACTACTCAGAACAGCGCAAATTTAAAACTTATGAGTTTATTTCTGGAATGTTCTATTTAATAATTTCAGAACGAAGTTGTCTGCAGGTAACTGAACTGTAGAAAGAAAAACCATGGCCAAGTGGACAAGGGGGGACTACCGTATTAGCTCTTAGGCTAATTATTGTTCTTTTGAAGATAATATGTCTTTTCTCCAGTTGCTTTAGTATTATCTATATATTTTGTTTTTTATAGTTCTACTCTAAAATGAGGCATGGGTTTGCTTTTATATATCCAACTCAAGGTTATTAAATCTGCGGCTTTGACATCTTTTATCGGCTTTGGAAAAGCTGATATCTCTACCAATATTATTTCTAACTTTTTATCTCCTCTCATTCTGAGATTCCAATTAAATGCATGTTAGACCCTATTTATCCTCTCATACCCTGTCTTCTGTATTCCATCCTATTCTGGGTATTTTCTTTTGACTTATTTTCCAGTTTACAGTTTGTCTCTTAAACTGTGTCTAATCTGTTGTTATTCACATTTATTTAGTTCCTAATTTCAGTTATTATATTTTTTATTTCTATAATTTCTCTTTGGTTCTTTGTTAGGTCTGTTATGTCATGTTTTATAGTTTCTCGTTCTCTGGAAATGCTGTGTCTTTTATTTAATCTCGTTGATTATGTTGTTTAAAATCTGTGTCTGAAATTTTTGATGTCTGAAGCTCCTGTGACTCTCCACTGTTTTATTTAAGATGTCTTTTGTTCTTGTTGTCTTGTTTGCTCTTATATCTTCTATTTGTTAACTTTATGCTATTCTTTCTATTTGAAAAGTTGTGTGTAGAATTTATTTAAGACTTAAGTTGACATCTTTTTCTGGAAGAAATTTTTTTCTTTGATTTTACTAGGCAACTCAAACACTGATAATCTAGGATAATATTAATATAATTACCAGGATTTTTCTGTGCAAAAAATACTATGCTGTAGTATGTGTGGTTTACTTCCAGTGTTTCTTTACTACTAGGCTTCATCCCTGGGGGTTGTCAACCAAAAATATGAAGTGTTTAACAGGGCCCTCAACTCTGTTAAACATGATGTTTTGTTTTTTAGATGCTCTTCACTATCAGCAAAACCTCAAGAAAAAGCAATCCCAATGCTGAAATTAACCTGTCTGAATTTTTTTCAAATTTTTTTATTGTGGTAAAATACAAATAACATGAAATTTACCATATTAACTCTTTTTAACTGTACAGTTTAGTGATACTAAATACATTAATAATGTTACACAACCATCACCACCATCCATCTCCAGAACTCTTTTTGTATTGTAAAATGGAAGCTCAATACCCATTAAACAATACCAACCCATTTCCTCCTCTCCCCAGCCCTGACAACCAGCATTTTACTTTCTTTCTCTATGATTTTGACTACTCTTAGTACTTTGTATAATGGAATCATACATTATTTGTCTTTTCGTGACTGTATTATTTTACTTAGCTTAATATCCTCAGAGTTCATCCATGTTGTAGCACAGTTCAGAATTTCCTTCCTTTTTAAGGCTGAATTGTTCATCGTACGTATATATCACATATTACTTATCTTTTCATCCATCAATGGACACTTGGGTTGCTTTCACATATTAGCTATTGTAAATAACGCTGCTATGAACATGTGTACAAATATCTCTTCAAGAACCAACTTTTAATTATTTTGGGTATATACTTAGAAATAGAATTGCTTGATCATATGGTGATTCCACATTTAATTTTTTGAGGAAATGCCATATTGTTTTCTACAATAACTGTACCATTCCTACCAACAGTGTACAAAGATTCCAATTTCTCCTTGTCAACACTTGTTATTTTCTAGTTTTTTAATACAAGTCATCCTAATTGTGTGAGGTGGTATCTCATTGTAGTTTTGATTTGCATTCTCCTAATGAATAGTGATATTGAGCATCTTCTCATGTGCTCGTTGGTCATTTGTATATCTTTTTTGGAGAAATATCTGTTCAAGCCCTTTGCTTATTTTTGAATCAGATTGTTTTCTTGTCGTTGAGTTGCAGGACTTCTCTATGTATACTCTCCCATTCTGTACATTGCATTTTACTCTGTTGATAGTGTCTTTTGATGCACAAAATTTTTAAATTTTCATGAAGTCCATTTTGTCTAGTTTTTATTTTGTCACCTGTGTCTTTGGTAACAAAATTTGTCAGTGATTTCTTCATATCTAAGAAATCACTGACAAATTCAATGCTATGAAGCTTTTTGTCCTATGTTTTCTTCTAAGAGTTTTATAGCTTGGGCTCTTAAGTATTTAATCCGTTTTGAGTTAATTTTTGTATATAGTGTTAGATAAGGGTCCAACTTTATTCTTTTGTAAGTGAATATCCAGATTTCTAAGGATCGTTTGTTGAAAAAACTGTCCTTTCCTCATTCAATGGTTTTGGCATCCTTGTCAAAAATCATTTGACCTTAAAAGCAAAGGTTTATTTATGGGCTCCCTATTTTATTCCATTGGTCTACATGTGTATCTTTATGCCAACACCACACTGTTTTGATTACTATAGTTTTGTAGTAAGTTTTGAAATCAGGAAGTGTTAATTCTCCAGCTTTGTTCTTCTATTTTAAGATTGTTTTGGCTATTTGTAGTCCCTTGAGATTCCATACAAATTTTAGAATGGGTGTTTCTATTTCTACAAAAAATGTTATTAGGATTTTGCTTGGGATTGCATTTGCTCTATAGATTGTCTTGAGTGATATTGACATTTTAACAATATTAAATCTTTCATTCCACCGACATGGAATGTGATTCCATTTAGTTATGTCTTTTCTAATTTCTTTTAGCAGTGTTTTGTAGTTTTCATTACACAAGTCTTTCACCTCCCTAAGTCAATTTCTAGGTATTTTATTCTTTTTGATGCTATTATAAATGAGATTTTTTTCTTGATTTTTCTTTCTGATAGTTCATTTTTAATGTATAGAAACACAACGGATTTTCATATATTGACTTTGTATCCTGCACCCTTACTGAATTTGTTTATTAGTTCTAACAATTTTTTTGGTGGAGTCTCTAGGGTTTCGTATATATAATATTATATCATCTGCAAATAGTGACACTTTTGCCTCTTCCTTTTTGATTTGGATGCCTTGTATTTCTTTATCTTGCTTAATTGCTCTAGCTAGGACTTCTGGTAGTAATATTGAATTAGAACAATGAGAGTAGGCATCTTTGTCTTGTTCCTGATCTTACAGAAAAAGCTTTTATCTTTTCACCATTGAGCATGATGTTAGCTGTGGGCTTGTCATACATGGCCTTTATTATCTTAAAGTGCATTTCCTTTATACTCACTTTGTCAAGGGTTTTACTCATGAGTGGATTTTATATTTTTCCTCCAGATTTTTGAAATATAATAGACAATTAGTTGCTTGTATTTACGTTGTACAATTCAATGAATTTTTTCCCCAATTATAGT